GTCACATCATTCAAAGTCACAGTCTTACTATTAAATCATTAATGAGGGGGTAAGTGTTACATTTGTAACTTTAAGGGTAAGTGTTACCAACCCTATACTTTAAGGGTATATTTGGTTGGGTGGTTTGAATAGATAGCTATTGATGGGATATGGTATACTGGGACAAAATTGTTGATTCACAGTGAGTAATCCATTATTTGGTTGGAGTTATGGGAAAGAAACTAATAATACCTGCACTAACAATATCATTTTTTGTTTGGGGTGATAACACTGTTTTATATGGGTTTTTGAGGTAAATTACTGGTTTGCCCTTATAATACTTTTTTTAGTTAATCGATTATCTCTCCTTATTGACCAATACTTCTCCCTCTTCTTCATTACGTGGGTACAATTTTCTGCGAAAGAAATCCTAAATTCTCCTATAATTTGTTTTTTTTTTCTTCTGAAACTAGATTATTGTGAGAGGGTGTATGCTCATATCTCGTAATGAGCTACAACAACGTTAATTCTCGAAAGAATTCGAGTAACAAAGTTGTTGAAGAATTCGGTTCATATGGGATGCAACGCGATGTCTGCGACTGCGGCAATCAGCTACGCTTACAAACTTCTTGGACTTCTGCCAACCCAGGTCGCCGTTTGCGCAGAGCGGGTATGTATCCAGACCCCAATTAATTTCATTCTTGTTCTTGTTTCTTGGCTATTAGTTTATTCCCTATTTTTCGATTTGGGTATAGATTTTAAATTAAACCCATATTCAATTGTAATCCTGAAAACTATGAAATTACTATTTTTAAAGGAAGATTCGTAGCAAGTCTACCTGTCGAGTGACTACCAGTTCATATACACTAGAAACTGTATGTCAAATTCTCACTGTTCATAATACAGGCTGAGCAAAGCAACAAAATTACCACAGTATAATAATAAAAAAATAAAATTAAAATCTTCAGATTGAATTCAATAATAAAAATCCGAATTCGGGCAGAGATGTAAGAAAACATTACTTTCATAGTGCAGCATTCACTGTTCGTTCAGTCATGAAATAAACATAAATTTACACAGGACTATCAACATTAAAGTAAAACCAAAAAAGGACAATTAAATTAAAACAAGAGATGAAACAAGAGAGCAAGAGTGTGAGGTTACCTTGAGATCTTGAGGCGAACAAAGTCTTTGTTTTTCATCCATCTTTGACGAAGCTGATTGATGGTGAACAAACTAATTTGTAGGACAAATCAATTTGTTAAGCAAAATGAAACCCGTATTCAATTGTAATCCCGAACTATAAAAGACCTTCGAAATTTGACTTCAGACTCTAAACTTACTGTAACACAACAGATATTACACTTTGTTCATATTTGCAGAAAATATGTTGTTCATCAATTCATCTTCGTAACACAAATCATAATTAAGTGAAATATAAAAGGAAAATCAAGCAGACTATGCATTTAGGCTTTCTCAGAATATCAGAGTCACAATAAATTAACCCAAATTTCTAATGCTTGCATAAGCATATACACAAAGAATCCATAAAACGCACGAAATCAATTTGTTTCAAAACCCTTATACAGAAGTGCATACTTGTAGATATTAACAGTGTAAAAGTGAGTGAAAATAGCTTGCAGGCGATTACCTAAAACCAACTGAGATGGTGTTTGTCAACCAAAAAACCCTTCTTTTATGAATGAAATTGAAGGAATCAATTAATATAAACACTACAAGGAGAAGAGTGTAAAGTGCTGAAATTTACCTTGATATTTAATGTTCTTCAAATTTGGTGCCTCCCTTGTTCCCAAAATCGAAACCCTACACCAGTCAATCAAATTATACAGACTGATTAAACCATATAAACACCGAAAAACATTGTAAAAATAGAGATGTATCTTCTACCATTAAACCCGTTTGGTCAACCTTCCATTGTAGTTCCAACGTCGGCGACTGCTCCGATAATCTAGAATATGTGAAATAAAATATTTATTCAGGGTTTAGCACCAAAAGGAAGAAAAAAATAGAAGATTGGAACGGAATTGAAAAGTATGATTTTTACCTGGAAAAAAAACTAGGGCACGAGATATGAAAGGGGAAGATGAAGATTATTCAGTATTTATACCTATTAATTTCGTAATTGTGGAATTTTTTTAAGGATATTTTCAATATTTCACATGGGTTCCATTATAAATTGAGTATGTGATAATTAATCAAGCCAATTTTGGCTTGACTAACAATAATTCGATTGGGGGATGAAATCAGTGGGCCCAACTCTCAAGGATGGTAAAATTTACCAAACTAAACGTTGTACAAATCGGTATAACCAATACCATCCCTTATAATACCCCCAACCAAAGATGCCCTAAGGGTGCAAACTGTATTTAGCCCTATTCATGATATGTTTTTAGTTAAAGTTTAATCTTCAGATATCAATAATATATATAAACATGAGCGTGTAATTATACCAACATCAAGGGAGGTTAATGTAATTTACTATATATTTGATCAAGGGTAAAAATATAATTCAAATGGTCAAATGAGTTACCCCTTAGCTAATATCAAATCTCAAGGGACATATGTGTAATTTTTTGAATCAAAGATTATCCAGTTGTACGTAGGCGCAATTTACCTAAAATTTATAAGAACCAAACTCGTAAAAAGTTTTATCATTTCAAATCTCAATGAAGAAACATCAAAATATCTCATCAAATACTAATTTGCTAGATGCTTGTTATACTATTTGATACCTCTTAAAATTCATTTATTCCAACCACAAGCATCAAATGAATCATCAAATTTTCAAAAAGTCATTTAAACGTGACACGTGTTAATTTTTTGGTGTCTCTTTGCATAATGGAGTTTGGGATCATATTAGAGTATTCAAACCTTTAACCCCCATTTACATACTTAAAAATATAATTTTTTTAACTCCAATGGAGTTATCAAATGAGGTTTCAATTTTGATAATTCACCAATTGGGTTGCAAAACAACTACCTGGAAATTGAGTTATAAAAAATGTAACCATCTAAACATCCAATCACAAATTGACACCACCCAATCAACCTATCATGAGTTGACAGGAGTTATTCACAAATATAATTATTCATATATTTAAATTCTAATAATCTATTTGATGTTTATGGTTGGAGTAAGAAACTTTTAAAGAGGTATCAAAATAATATAAGAAGTATCAAATGAGCATTTGATGTTCCATTCTGATACTTGTCCATTGGATTTGCTCTAAAAATGTATCAAAATAATATGAGAAGTATCAAATGGCATTATGTTGATACTTGTCCATTGGAGTTACAAGTAAATTTATTTAGGTATCAAATTAAAATATGAAATATCAAATAAATATTTGATAACTTATTTTGATATTTTTGGGATGTAGTCGCTCTAGCTCTAAGAGCAACTCCAATGGAAGCATCAAATGTAGGGATAGCAATGGGGCGGGTTTTGCAATCCCCATCCCGCCCCGTTATGGAAATCCTCATCACCATCCCCGTCAAAAATCCCACGGGTATTAAAAGAATCCCCATACCCGCCCCATAAAATCCCCACGGGTATCGGGGAGGGTAAAAATCCCCGTCTATTTTTTTTTTCTTTCTAAAAATAAATAAATATACAATTTACTTATAATTTAAATGTTTATTTCAACAAATAAATCAATATTTAATTTTAATACTAATATTTAACTATATAATTGAAACCTAAAAATTCCCATTTTTAGCTAATATTTAATATATTACTACTATTTACTTATTTATATTTAATATAATAATTAAAATATATATATATATTATATATATAAATAATGTGGGGCGGGTACGGGGACGGGACGGGGCGGGTATAGGCAAATCCATCCCCGTACTCGTACCCGGTCAAAAAAAATTTCAATCCCCATACCCGCCCCATTTTTTTTCGGGGCGGGACGGGGCGGGTCAAATTGCCATCCCTAATCAAATGGATTATCAAACCCATTAACCGCCTTTTTTATATCCCAAAATTAAAAATTTCTACTCCAATGAGAATATCAAAATGGTTAAGTATTTTGATATTCTACCTCTTTGCATGTAAAAATCATCCCGGAAATTGAATTATCAAAAAAATAACCACCTAAACATCCAATCACAAAATGACACTTGGCAATTACAAATAAAATCACTAAAAAACTTCCAATTGATTATTACTTTAGATAAACTATAAGAGCAACTCCAATGGGTTATCAAATAGAGTATTCAAACATTTAACTCCCATTTACATACTTAAAAATACAAATTTTTAACTCCAATGGAGTTATCAAATGAGGTTTCCATTTTGATAATTCACCTTTTGGGTTCTAAAAATACTTGCTGGAAATTGAGTTATCAAAAATGTAACCTCCTAAACATCCAATCAGAAGTTGACATGTGGCAATTACAATTAAAATCACCCATAAACTTCCAATTGATAATTAATTTGATAACCATGGTTGGAATAGATGAGTTTTAAATTAATATTAAAATAATTCTCAAATATCAAATGAGGATTTGATAACTCAATTTTAATATCTAGCATTGGAGTTGCTCTAAATGGATATTATAATATTATCTTAATTATCAAATGGGTATTTGATAATTCAATTTTGATGTTTAGCATTGGAGTTGCTTTAAGGTGGTGTTTGAAAAAGTTTATTTAAAAGCAGAAGTTAGTGATTGTGAGTTAAGTCGGTTTTAAGTGCTTATTTCTAAAATTTGGAGGTATTTGCAAATATTTTGGAAAATGAACTTAAATAGAAAAAACAGGGGTTATTGATGCTTTTAAAAAAATAGCTTAAAGTAAATTATTTTAACAGAAACAAAAACAAAAGATGATTTTGCAAACAACTAAAAACAGATTATGAGAAGAAAAAAAAGCTCATAATCACTTTCAAAAAGCTTTTTCAAATAGCATAAGCTGTACAACGTACTTGTTAGTTATTATTAGTCATAATCACCGTCCCTAACAAGTCGCAGTAACATATGTCAACTGTTTGTACCCCACTCTCCCATTACCGCGCGTGGCATGATTAACTTCAAAATTCATCCATCTTACAGCTAAATGAGATCGAGATCTGTGCTACTCTTTCTCTCTCTAAAATTCCTCTCCTCGTTTTAAAACTGTATTTCACATTATAAACCCATTTTCAGTCTGCGACTCTTACTCGTTTGTGACAAAAAAATGGCGATAGGAGGCGAGTGGCACGTCGTCGTTTTGCTGCTCCTGTGCACTGCTTTTCCTGCGGTAAGATCCGATGCATCAGATCACAAGTTCAAAGTCGGAGATCCGGTGCCGCTGTATGCAAACAAGGTCGGCCCATTTCATAACCCTAGGTAAATAAATATTCCTTTATTTCCTTTCGTTTTTCTTCGAATTTTCTTACGGTGTATGATTATTATGTTTCATCGTTGCAACTCAGCTCGATTACTAGGCTTAATTACAAATTCGGATGGTTTTTTGTGTGTTGTGGATTTGGTTGCTTTGATTATTTTGTTGACGGATTGAGGGTTCAATTTGCATGATTCAGCTAATCGGTTGTGAAATTTGAAAATGATGTAGATCAATTATTGAATTTTGTTTTTTGGACGCTGTTAAGATCATTAGAGAGAGGGGAGGTGACTTTTGAACATTGATTTATTTACATGGTGGAAAGTGGTAGCTGTGGTATGATGGGTGTTTTGCCTGTTTCCCTTCATTCGCATGCCGGGTTTTCCGGAATCCTGTTCCCTAAGTAAAGGGAAAATTCACTCAATCCCCAGCTATCTACAATTGGTAAATCCCGACTTTTTGGAGTTAGAGAAGGCAAATTTGTAGTCCATTAGTTCTTTTAGGCGTAAGTGTAGTTTATGGCATGCCACATCATTGGCAGACAATACAGATGAATTTGAGTACTATCGAACGGTTATCTTAAACAAGTAAGATTTAAGAGGTTGTTTGTCGAAGAACCAAAAGCATTATGAATAATGAAGTGATTATTCGTTGAATGATATTCCCATTATTTTTCATCATGTAGTCGTTTCAATTTTTGTGATGCTCATATCTGTTATTTGTTCTCATCTCCAGCGAAACATACCGTTACTTTGATCTCCCGTTCTGTTCTCCAGGTACAGTTTATTCTCGTTTTTGTTTTTCTTACCAGTTACGTCCATTCTTTTACTTACATTTTGTGCTAACAGGTAATGTCAAAGATAAAAGTGAAGCTCTTGGTGAAGTGCTAAATGGAGACCGTTTGGTCAGTGCTCCATACAAGCTTGATTTTCTGGCTGACAAAGAGTCTGAAGTCATCTGCAAAAAGCATCTCTCAAAGGAAGAAGTTGCTGTGTTTCGAAGTGCGGTAGCAAAAGACTACTATTTTCAAATGTACTATGATGACTTGCCCATATGGGGTTTCCTCGGAAAGGTTGACAAGGAAGGCAAAGCTGATCCCAGCGAGTACAAGTATCACCTATTTAAGCATCTCCATTTTGAAATATTTTATAATAAAGATCGTGTGATTGAGATCAATGCACGCACAGACCCCAATGCTCTTGTAGATCTTACCGACGATAAGGAAGTTGATGTGGAGTTCGTGTTCTCTGCCAAATGGAAGGAAACTAACATTGAATTCGATAAGAGGATGGAGAAGTACTCTCATTCTTCTTCTCTTCCTCGCCACTTAGAGATCCATTGGTTTTCAATTATCAATTCGTGCGTGACTGTTCTCCTCCTCACTGGGTTCCTTGCTACGATTTTGATGCGTGTGCTAAAAAATGATTTTGTCAAGTAAGATCGTCTTTACATTCTTCAACATTCAGGAAATTTATGATACTGCAAAAGTCTTCACTGATGTTTTTCTTCTTTTACCATAGATATGCCCATGACGAGGAGGCAGCAGATGACCAAGAAGAAACTGGGTGGAAATACATTCATGGTGATGTTTTCAGGTTCCCAAAGTACAAGTCTTTGTTTGCTGCTGCCCTCGGAAGTGGCACACAGCTATTTACCCTGTAAGTAGGTCTTTGTGAGTTCGCTTTGTGTTTTCGAAAGTTTTTGGGAATGTTTTTTCTTGTTACTGGATTGTGGAATATTTTGTTTATTAGGGATAAACTAACTGAATTGGGATTCTTTCTTTTCCAGGACGACTTTTATATTCTTACTTGCTCTTGTTGGTGTATTTTATCCTTACAACCGTGGAGCTCTTTTTACTGCGCTGGTGGTCATATATGCTCTTACATCTGGCATTGCTGGGTATACTGCATCATCTTTCTATTGCCAGTTAGAAGGAACAAATTGGGTAAGTAAATTTTGGGTAACACCATTTTTATACTTTCATCTTAAATTGCAATGTGGGTTCATTTCTTATGCAGTGGTTCTCTAGATTTTCTGTAAACAGCACTTAAAAAATACCATGACATCACTTGTAGAATAGCTTTATAAATAGGCAATTTATTAAACTCACACGCACAACACTCACAATCATACCTTTGAGCTCCTACATAATTGCTAAAGGTCACACTACCAGGCTATTTACACGATTGCTCTAAAATCTGCAAAACTGTATGAGAATGAATAATTTGAGGTAAAAAAAAGTTACTAGTTTGAGGTAAAAAATATTGATGCCCTGCACTAAGTGTAAACTAGATATTACGTCAAATAACAGTCAGGTAATTCAGCTTGCTTACCAATCTCTTATATTATTCGAGACCACTCAACAGTTTTCCCCCTTTTTTTACCAGAAGTGTGAAGTTCAGGGTTGACATCCATTGTAGATTAGATAGATTTTGCTGTCAGGACGCTGGTGTTTACCAATTGGTTAAGCATTAAGTTATATGGTCTGTAGGACCATGATTGGGATGGACAACCGTAAATACCAAAAAGTACTGCAAGTCTCCAAGATCTTTGGAATGAAACTTTGCTAGTAAAAAGGCTTAATCCCCACTTTGTTTCCCCAAAAAACAGTTCATAGCATTTTGCAATTTGCACCATCAAAATATAAATAACTCGTTCACAGTGCACCCCAAACCATTTTTAGACTAAATTTCGTGAATGATCTATATATATGTGTTATTTTGTATTTTGTGCACCTCTGCCTGCCTGGCCTGTTTCTTATTTTGCCCTACTTTCTCATTTAATAGGTCAGAAATTTATTACTTAGTGGAGGTCTGTTCTGTGGTCCGCTTTTTCTCACATTCTGCTTCCTAAACACTGTTGCCATTGCTTACCATGCAACTGCCGCTCTCCCGTTTGGTACCATTGTGGTGATTTTTCTGATATGGGCTCTTGTGACGTCACCTTTATTAGTGTTGGGAGGTATTGCAGGAAAGAATAGTAAGGCAGAGTTTCAAGCTCCAGTTCGTACCACAAAATATCCTAGAGAGATTCCACCGCTACCTTGGTACCGTTCAACCGTGCCTCAGATGGCTATGGCCGGCTTCTTGCCATTCAGCGCAATCTATATTGAACTGTACTACATATTTGCCAGTGTCTGGGGTCACAGGATTTACACCATTTACAGTATTTTATTCATTGTCTTCATTATTCTCCTGATCGTCACTGCGTTTATTACTGTGGCGTTGACATACTTCCAACTTGCTGCTGAAGATCATGAATGGTGGTGGAGGTATGTTTTCATGTTGAATTTACTTAAACATTAGAGATGCTAAACATATGATATATTCATTGGTGTTGAAGCTTTATTCCACTTGAGTTGTCTTGTGTTCAGTTGTCTTTTTATTTGGTTGCGTTTTCTCTTTTGCCTTCACAGCATTTCCGATTTCTCCTGTCATTTGTGAACGTAGTTGTTCCTTGCGAACGTAGTTGTTCCTTGCAAACATGGAGTTCTTTTGCTCTTTTAGATTTGAAAAAGGGATTGCTAAATTTTTCCCCGCCAAAATAAATTAACTGGGTAAACTAAATAGCCGGTGTCAATCCCTCACTTAAACACCAGATCACTGTTCTTCTGTTTACCATCATCTTTAATCCACTAGAGTTTCATAACAAAATACTGGACAATCGACTCACTGAGGTATGCTAACTTGTTCTTGCCCCTGCCTAATCCTCGAGCCTGCAGGAGGGTCTCTAAACGCACAGTATTTATTCTTGCTAACTTGGGATTGAATTTTGAACTATATTACTAAAGAATCATATATTTATCATCCTATTTCATGCATTAATTGTAACATGCTATAGAAGTACGTGAATTCCATTGAAATGATATTTATCAAAGTACATTTATCAGTTAACAATTTCGAGGATATCAGGGACTTATCTTGTTGAAAGGAGTGTCACATAAAATTGTTTGAGTGAAAGTCCATCTTTTTAAATATTTCTGCAGAAGTACTGCAGATCTTTAACTTGAGCCTTCCGTGAAATACTCGAGACTTTTAGTTTCTGTCTTCATCTGAACAAACTATTTTGGGACGTCGGAAATCATTTCCGATATAAAAAGAACAAGGGCACTTTCTAAAACTTTATTGAGGTCCCCGGTAAGAGGGCTTTAGTTATGTAATTGAAAAAATGCGTGGTTCATAATATGATTAAATAAGCAGATCTGTTCTACTGTTTGTGCATCCATAATATATAAATTGCATGTGCCAAACGTAACACCTCTTTCGTTTTTCTCCCATCCAATCAGGTCTTTCCTATGTGGTGGATCTACCGGCTTGTTTATCTATAGCTACTGCCTTTATTACTACTATGCGCGATCGGATATGTCAGGCTTCATGCAAACCTCATTCTTCTTTGGGTACATGGCTTGTGTATGCTATGCTTTCTTCCTAATGCTCGGAGCTGTTGGTTTCCGTGCTGCTTTATTCTTTGTGCGCCACATATACCGCTCGATAAAGTGCGAATGAGAAATGAGATTTATCCATATTCCTGCCAAAGTCCAACAGGTATATTTCTTTCATAAGCTTTCAAAACTCGTTTAACATTCTACTAGTTTAACGAAGCACTTGAAGACGATGCATTTGCTTATATTTACAGAAGAAGAATATGTAGATCGCGGGAAAAAGGCCGCGTGCTATATGACGCAAGTACTGAAGGAAAATGTCTGTTAGGGTTTTACGTATTATGAAAGGCATTTATGAGTAAAATGTAGTTTATTTGTCGAAACTTATATATCGAACGGTAGTGTAGGGTTTTTGACTATTCACTATAGTAGGTTGTTCATCTTTTGAAAAGATTTTGTATAACAAGACATTAAAGAGGTGAAATATTGTTGGCACTTGCTTCAGTTAACAAACATCTCTGTTTATTTTGATCAGTGCATTTCATTTAATTTAAATTTAAATGGAATCAAATAAATAGTGAATGATGGCCAATTGTGATCGACTAATGGGTATTCTCATTTTACTAGAATTTTTTTTTTTTGCAAGATTAGACATAACTAGGGGTAGAAATCGGAATGAGATTTTTTAATCCCAAATTGGAATTGAATATATAATTATCGGAAATTCCGACTTATGATCTGATATTAGTTTAGAATATTTTGATTGTTAAATATTGGTATAATAATTTTATGATATATTTTTTAATATAATGATATAATTTATAAATTATATGAAAAATATAAATACACAAGGACAAAAGTAAACTAAAACACTAGAAGAAAAGTAGTTGGTACCAAAAATTCTCTGTTGCGTTTTGTTAGAAGCTGTGTTGCCTTTTGTTGTTCCCACATCTCGTTTTATTGCATTTTGTTGAACTCTCTTTTGATTTTTATTGAATTTTGTTGGAAATTTTCGGAAAAAAATGATTTTTTGGTGAAAATTACCATTATATTCGAATTTGGAAAAATTAGTTATAGATTAATGTAATTTTCCTAAATTTTGAGGTATTTCGAAATTGGAATGAATTTTTTAATTCCATCTTTTTTCGAACAAAATTTGGAATCCATTTTTAATTCCGAAAAAAATGGAAAATTTCCGAAAAAACTATTTCCGATCTGTTTCGTCCGATTTCCACCCTATACATCATATGATAAAATAATACGCTACAAAAAAATCCTGACAATGTCAAGAAGCGTGTAAGGACTAAAATACCCCCTCACATTTTAATATCCTCCAATTTCATCATTTAATTCAATTTAACCTCATTTGACCACAAATTTAACAAATTATTCAATTTTGACCCCTAATCCAATTTTGACTACAATTTCGACCATCGCCGCCATTGATCGCGGGTCTTCGGGCGTTGATTTTTTATTTTTTTTCTTCCGCCTCTTTCATGGTCAACGTCGGTCTCCGGCGGCGTTAACTGACTTCTTTTTTCTTTTATATTACTGTTTAACACAATAATATTGTTATATTACTCCCTAGTACAGTAATATTAACATAACAAAATCACTATTAATTATTGTGTAATAGAGTAATATTAATATGTTGACCGTTCAACAAAGCAAACATATTGTGTTTACAGTAATATTACTATAGTAGACATTGATATTATTACGTTATTCAATCAACGAATCAAACAAAATAAAAATGCCAATATATATATATATATATATATATATATATATATATATATATATATATATATATATATATATATTGATGTGGTTGACAGTAATATTATTATGTTTTCTAGTAATTGTACTCGGAACGACAGTACAATTACTTTCGGGTGATAGTACAATTACATTCAATGACAATACAATTAAGGTCAACGTTCAGCGGTGGACGTAAAAAAAATGATATTTTTTTAGGAAAAATAATGAAAAAAATCAACGACGCCGGTCAACTCCGGAAACCGGCGGCATAAAAAAATAGGGAACAAAAAATCAAAAAGAGTCCAGAAACTGGCGGCAGAAAAAAGCAGACAAAAAAAATCAAAAAAGTAAATTAAGAAGAAAGAGTCAAAATTGATGAAATTGAAGTTACAATTAAAAATTGAGTTTAAACGTTGGGGTCATTTTATCATATACATTAAAGAAATTGACTTATTGATGAAAACGATATGAGCCTTTAACCTAGAATAATACCCCCTTTATATTGGCAAAATTAGAAAAATCCCCTCACTAGCTAAGTAACAAAGTGACCAGGACAATTTGAAATTTGATAACGGCTTTTGATAAAACCACACAAGTTGAATAAATTCTTAAGCATTATGTATATCTTATTTACTCTTTAAAATTTTAATACACCCCCTTTCTTTCACTACACTCTATATCTTCTCTCTTTCTCTTCTCTTCCCGTTCTTTCTTAATCTTCTATAATTCTCAAGTTTTGCTCAACCACGTACAGCAGCCATCGATGCTGCTCTCTCGAATTTCTGTGATCTCCGACGGAGGATGCACGTCGCTAATGTTATAACACTTTGTTGGGTGATAATCAGGGGTGAACCTAAGGTATGCCTTGGGGGCCCCCCTCCCCTGAAGGAAATTTGTTTTCAACTCTTTTTTTTTTTCTTTTTCTTTTTCTTTCTTTTTTTTTTTTTTTTTTTAATATTATGTGTTATTTATCTATTAATTTTATAATTTATACACTTTAGCCCACCCTAAAATTTAAATTTTGTACTATTTTAGTCCAAGAAAATTTCTAGGCCCTCCACCCAATACTCCCTCGGTCTGCTCCTGGTAATAATAAATATGAACGATAGGGCCACTTTTATCTATTTTGTGTTTGTTTGTGTGTGTGTTTATAATTATTTTTTAAAGAAACAAACACAACGTGCCAAGAGAATGTGCAACGTTTAAAAAAAAGGTTGTTTTTATTGATTATTAACGAAAACCATTACATAATTTTACTCTCTTCAGAAGTTATGTAAACTTGAATGTTGAGTGCTGTAGTGGATGAAAATGTTTGCAAGGTTTATTATTATATGGTTTCTATATCTGGATTACACATCTACTATTCACTATATTCTCTCACCACGTGCGAAACACGTGAGTTTAAGTTGCTTACTCAGCCATCCGAGTCAGCCATGTGGTTTGTTACACTTGAGCTGATTTGATTGGTGGAAGGAATGTATGGCTCTTGTGAATTAGTTGGGGAGAAAGTTCTCTATATATATCACAGGAGCATTAAGGAGAGAGAGAGGCAATATTGGGGATACACTGAGAGCAGAGAGAAATTCTTGTATTGATCTGGTTTTATAGTGAATTGGAGCTTGTATTGCTCCCGGGGATGTAGATCTCCCATTGAGATTGAACCTCGTAAAATCCTCTGATTCTTCTTCTTTATTTGTTAGCTGCATGTGTGTGTTTGCTGTGTGAGTAATTAGAGTGAATCAGATTTTAGCTCTAGCTTGATTAATTCTAAGTTAATACAACTTGCTGAGCTTCACAATTCACAACAAGTGGTGCGGTGAGCGTGGATCGAAGTGGAGCTGGTTAATTCAATCTACACAAATTCAGATCTGCAGCTGAAATTTGAAGAGGTACACCTCTGACTTAGATCTATTGAAGATGAGTAATTCTAAGTTTGAATTTGAAAAATTCAATGGCGATAATGATTTTACTCTCTGGAGAATCAAGATGAAAGCCTTATTGGTTCATCAAGGACTTTCTGCTGCCCTAGATGCAAAGTTATTAGCTGAATTAGATGATAAGAAAACAGTGCCAGAAATTCAATCTAAGGCTCATAGTGCACTGATTTTAAGTCTAGGTGATGAAGTACTTCGTGAAGTCTCTGAAGAAACAACAGCTCTAGCTATATGGGAAAAACTTGAATCTATTTACATGAAGAAATCCATTGCTAACAGGTTGTATCTGAAGAAGAAACTCTATACTCTTCAAACGGAGACAGGACAGGAAGTTAGGAAGCATCTAGATGAGTATAATATGATTATTCTAAACCTACATGTTGTTGGAATCAAAATTGAAGAGGAGGATCAGGCTATTATCCTATTAAGCTCACTTCCAAAGGATTATGAGCATATAGTAGACACTATGCTCTATGGAAAGGATACCCTTACAATGACAGAAGTAAAATCTGTGTTAAATTCAAAAGAGAAATGAATCAAGCTCTAATGGAAGTGGTGAAGGGCTTAATGTAAGAGGAAGGCCTGACAAGAAGGAGTTTAAGAAGAATATAGGAAAGTCTAGATCAAAGTCAAGACCACATGGAAAGGACACCAGAAGATGTCATAAGTGTAAGAAGGAAGGACATATTAGAAGATTTTGCCCTGAGAGAACTCAGAAGTATAAGAGTGACTCAAACCAAGGTGACAAGGGAGATGCATCCATTGTATCAGATGGATATGACTCTGCTGAGGTGTTGTTTGCCTCATACTCTGATTCACCTGAGGCACTTGTTGCATCACACCTCAATTTTGCTGGAGAGTGGGTGTTGGACTCTGGATGTTCATTCCATATGACTCCCAACAAGGAGTGGTTTCAGGAGCTCAAGGAATCTGAGAAAGGAATGGTGCTTTTGGGAGATGATAAAGCATGCAAAATTCTTGGGATTGGAGCTGTTAACCTAAAACTAGCCTCTGGACAGAGGAAACAAGTAAATGGAATGAGATATGTTCCTGCTCTTAAGAGGAATCTCATTTCCATTGGTATGTTTGATCAAGCAGGGTATGAGATGAGAGCCAAAAATGGAGTTATGAGAATAGTGAAGGGTGCTCTAGTGGTCATGAAGGGCTTACTGAGGAATGGAATTTACATATTAGATGGAACCACAGCTGTTGATACAGCAAATGTTGCAGTTCAAGACAAGACCTCATTATGGCACATAAGGTTGGCACACATGAGTGAAAGAGGACTCCAAGAACTGGTCAAACAGAAACTTCTTGAAGCAAATGACATTGAAGATCTGAAGTTCTGTGAGAACTGTATTCTTGGGAAAGCCAAGAGAGTAAAATTTGGAAAAGCACAACACTCGACTCATGACAATCTGAGTTATATACACTCAGATATGTGGGGCCCTGCAAGAACTGAGACCTTGGGAGGTTGCAGATATTTTTTGACTTTAATTGATGATAGGTCAAGGAAGCTGTGGGTCCACATCTTAAAGACAAAGGATGAAGCATTTCCAGTGTTTAAAACCTAGAAACAAAAGGTGGAGACTCAGTCAGGAATGAAAATAAAACACTTGAGGACTGATAATGGATTGGAATTTGTGTCAGCAGTTTTTAACAAATTTTGTGATGATAGTGGAATCACAAGACACAGAACTGTTAGAAGAACTCCACAACAGAATGGTCTAGTTGTAAGAATGAATAGAACCATTCTTGAGAAGGTGAGATGCATGCTTCTTAGTTCTGGCTGCTCTAAGAAATTCTGGGGAGAGGCTGTCAAAACTGCATGCCACATAA